GAATTATATGAAAGCTCTCTTAATTAAAAAACCATCATATTTGGCATTTCTATTATAATTGATAAAGAAACTGTAATAAAAATGATATAGCATGAAGCCATTAAAATGAATGAAATAGATACATATTACTGACATAAAAAACCTTCTAGGATGGCAATACATGATAAAGACTCAAACAAGGCAGCAGGAAAAAAATCTATAGTATTAAGTTGTCTTTTTAAATTTAGTATATTTAGTATATATATGAAGGAAAATCGGGAGTAATGTATAAAAGGCTATTACCAGTGATTAACATATGGCAGAGTTTCAGTTTCTACAGTACAAATGTCTGGATGATTGATTGAATTTTTATTATGAGCACATATGAACATTATTTTTTTAAGATTTTTTATTATTTATTTATTTGAGAGAGAGTAAGGGAGGGAGGGAGAGGGAGAAGCAGACTCCCCGCTGAGTAGGACCCTGGGATCATGACCTGAGCTGAAGGCAGACGCTTAACTGACTGAGCCACCCAGGTGGCCCTACATATGAACGTTATTAACAAGCTTAACACTTTTTTTAAGATTGATTTATTTTAGAGAGAGAGCACATGTGCGCACATGTGAGTGGGGGGAGGGGCAGAAGGAGAGAATCCTCAAGCCAACTCCTCGCTGAGCAGGGCTCCATCCCAGGACCCATGAGATCATGAGACCATGACCTGAGCCGAAACCAAGAGTCAGGTGCTTAACCCACTGAGCAAACCAGGCGCCCCAACAAGCTGAACATTTCAATGAAGTTTATATGGCATATATAATAGCATGGAAATGAAAGTATAACATAATGTTAATTCAAGGAAGCAGAAATAAGTATCTTACATACAATATGACCAAAATTAAAGTATGCATAGAAAACAGACTGAAAACAAAATTGCTTTAAAAAGTTAATTGATATTCTTTTTAGGAAGTAGTCCTGAATATTTTTTCCTTTTTCCTGTGGTTCTATGTCTTTCAAATTCTATAAGTTTTCCTACTTTTGTTTTGCCTGCTTATTACAAAAATTTCCAAACACACAAAAAGTATAATGAAATGCCAGGTACCTATTAGCCAGCTTCAATGACCATCAAAATTTAGGTATATATGTGTTATCTTCCCCACGTGGTTTTCTTTTTTTATTATTTTCTGGACTATTTTAAAGCAAATTTCAGACATCGTGTCATCATATTCTATGGACTTAAGAAAGGTTTATTCTTACATAATCACAATACCGTTATTTCCTTTATACAGAAAGAAATAAAAATTCCTTTAATATCATCTAATAATTAGCCCATACTGAAAAATCTCTGATCGTCTGAAACGTCTTTATACAGTTTGTTCTGAGTGAAAATCCAAACAGTTCCCATTTTTGCATTCTGTTGTACGTCTAGCACAATCCCAAAATGCATATGTTGAAATCCTAACCCCTAGCACTTCGGAATGTGACTATATTTGGACATAAGATTTTTAAAGAGGTAATTACATTGAAATTAGGTCATTAGGGTGGGCCCTAATCCAATATAACTGATGTCCTTCTAAGAAGAGAAGATTAGGACTCAGGTACAGTGAGAAGACTATGTGCAGACACAAGGACAAGGCAGCCATCTATAAGCCAAAGAGGCCCCAGAAGAAACTAACCCTTCCAACATCTTGATCTTGGACTTCTAATCACCAGAACTTGAGAAAATACATTTCTGTTGTTTAAGTCAACCAGTCTATGGTACTTCATATGACAGACCTAGCAATGTAATACAGACAGTAAAGCCAACGTTTGTTTTGATTGGTTAATGTACATTTTGTTCAGGGGGATAAATATTTTGTCTATCAACCATATTTATGTTTTATTCAACAAATTCACTATTTTTTATTTATTAGATGTTTTGAATACTCTAAATTGATTTCATGAATGGTTGGCCAACTTTATTATTACTATCACTGCTACTCTTAATTGTTTGCCTCTCCAAATACCACTAAAATGAACTCACTTTTGTACTCTGAGCTTATGAGAAGGAAAGCACAATATTTGCTTTCTCCAGTTTGAATGGGGCTCACTTATATTTTGCTATTTATTCAATTGTCTATTGGCTGTATCCCACTGAAACTATCTTTCCTCTATACCGGCTCTTCCTACCTTTCCACTGTTAATTAGCCATTTTCCATCCTGTTACCTAAGCCAGAAACCTCAGTACCTTTAAAACATTTATTATTTTAAAATACTTTTAAACTTACAGAAAAAAATTGTAAGAATAGTACAAAGAACTTCTATCTTTGCCTAAATTCTCCAGTTGTTGACATACTACATTTGCTTTATCATTCTCTCTATATACATATTCATATTTTACTGACTTCTCTTATTTATATATACTTTTTTTGGAACCATTTGAGTAAGTTGCAGACATAAAGCTTCATTATCTTTAAATATTTCAGTGTGTATTTTCTAGAAACAAAGGTAACCCCTACATTACCAGACTATAGTCATCAAAATCGGGAAATTCACTTTGTTACAATGCCATCTAGTCCACAGACCCAATTCAAATTTTGTCAGTTGTCCCGATAATATCCTTAAAAGAAAAAGGATCCAATGCAGGGTCATATGTTCCATTTAATTGTCATGTCTCTTTAGTCTCCTACAATCTGAAAAAGTTCTTTAGTTGTTCCTTTGTCTTTCACGATCTTGACAAACTTTTAAAGTGTAAAGATCTATAATTTTGTAAAATTTCCTTAATTTGAGGTTGTCTGATCCTCCCTCATGATTAGATTCTTCCTTATGCATTTTTGGCAGGAGTATCACAAGTGTGTTCTAATTGTCTCTTACCAGGTGGCATACAATGCTGATTTGTCATTTTCCTATTACTGAGGATGGTAACTTTGCTCACCAGTGCCAGATTTCTGCACTGTCAAGTTTCTATTTTTCCCTTTGTAATTAGTATTTGGCCAGGAGATACTCTGAGACTATAATGTTTCTCTTAAAACTTTCACCCTCTAGTTCTGGCGTACATTGATGATTCTTGGCTGAATCCATCTTTACTATAATAGTTGCCAAATGGTGATATTTCTATCTATACATTCCTTCTACATTTATTAGTTAGGAATCTAATATAAGGAAGAGCGTTTCTTTATGCCCATTTAAAAAAAATTCACGTATTTATTTCAGTATAGACTCAAGTATTCCTATTTTATTCAGATCATAATCTATTAACATTATTATAGTGGTGCTCAGATTGACCCAGATGTGGCTAATGGAGGCTCTTTCAAGCTGGTTTCTGTGTCCCTTTCTTATGTTCCATCATTCTGTAAAAACTTCTTTAGTTTCTGGTGCAACAAGATTTTTCGGGCTCATGTACTTTCCCTGTTCCTGTTCTGAATCAGTCATTTCCCCAAGAGGCTCTAGTTCCTTTTAGCAGAAAAAGGTGTTTAGAAACCAAGATCTAGGCAGTACTTGCTCATGGCTCCTCACATCTCTTTAGCAGAGGGCGCTAAGGGAAAAACAAAATACATGGATTCAAAGTATAGACAACATTTGGGTTGAGATATGGAGGTGTAGGAGTTTACAAAAAGAGATTTTTCTGAGAGAGGAGACAATATGTACAAGAAAGGGACATGAGAGGGTATGGATTGTTTTGCATGGTACACATAATTCAGTATTGCTGAAGCATAACATTGAAAGGAGGCAATGAGAGAAGAAACTAGTCAGGCAGATGGAGTGTCTTATATCCTAGGCAAAGTAACTCAATTTTCTTTTACAGATAATCCTTTGAAGAATTTTCAGGACAGTGACATTGTCAGATAGACATTTTTAGTGAAGTCATTCTGGTAGCAGTATGGAGGATGGCATTCTGGAATCAAAACTGGAGTCAGGGGACTGGTAAAGAGGCCATCACACAATAATAGAAGTAATGAAGGCTGGTATGAGGCAGCCGGAGTCAAGTTGGATAGGCTATATACTAGGGGTGTTAATAAAAGAGTACAATGGACATAATTTGTTTTAAGAGGCATTTAGGATGCTCTTACAACGCTGGGAGGACGGTGGTGGCTTAAGCCAAATCAGAAATCCAGAAACGGGAGTAGGTTCTAGGTGGAAAGTTGAACAGTTTGGTTTAAGATGCATTGGATTGATAATATTTCTCACAGAATTCTCATAGGATTTGGAGAAAGAACATGAAATATGTTTTGTAATGTATGGTGATGCTAATATAAATAGAAAAGCTGGCCTCTAAAGAAATATACATAACGCTCTCACTTTGCAAACTAAGCAACAGGTTATAGCGCGGTGTATGACTACAACTGCAGGAAATTCAAGAGTTGGGGAGGGACCTGTCTAGTATTTTTCCATCCCTGGTGACTCAGAGCTAAAAATGGCGCCTGTGGCAGAAATTAGAAAGTGGAAGGAGGCACTGGGTGAGGGTTTTCTTTTTTTTTTCTGTTTTAAACACATAGCGAGAGAACTCAGCGCCACATGAATTATTAACATTTTTTCCTTAAGGTTTGGTCTGTAGTACAACTCTATTCTCCGCGTTTAAAAGAATGTTTCATGTTGTGGGCGCGATCGCTTGGGCGGTGACGTGCCTGCTTCTTTGCCTCATTCATGCTTCTCGGCCTCGGCGGGTTTCACGACTGCCTCCCTGTCTCTGCCCCCTCTCGTTTTTGTTTTTGTTTTTGTCTCCAGCGCTGGCTACAGTTCTGAGAGACAGAACGCTTTTTCGGGGGTGAAGACCAGATGGGTTCAGACCCTACGCATTCGCAGGGCTCCTTGGCGCTTGGGGGCGAGAGATTCTTTCTTCAGAGGCCCGCGGCCTCGCGCTTTCTACACGGGCACGAGGAGTCCCGCGCGCGGCCGCCAGAGCGCGTGCCCGGCTGTAGTCTGAAGGCCCGCGGGCGGGGCGCGCGCACCACCTCCGCAGGCGCCGCACTGCAGCAGCTCGGGGCCCCGGCGTAGGTGGCGCGGGGGCGGGGCCGCGGAGGGGCGTCGAGGCTGGGCAGCCGCCCAGACCCGGAGCTTGGGCCGCATCGGTTGTTGTGGGAACGGTGGCGTAGGCAGGCACTGACGTCAGCGGGCGGCGAGCTGCCCGCACTGCGGCACCCGGTCCGCTCTCAGAGCCGGAGTGCCTGGCGGCTAGGGTGGCTACGCGGGTGCCTGCCTCCCGCCCCGCTCGGCGCGAGAAGCCGCTTCGCACAGTCCCGGCGTCGGCTCGGGCGAGACTGACTGTCGGCCGCTCGGGGCTCCGTTCTCCGTGAGTACGCTGCAGGCCTGCTGGTGGCGGGAGGCCCGACCGGGCGCTTGGCCTGCCGGGGCCCTCTCAGCGGGGGCGGTGGCTTGGGGGACTGCTCGGGTCCGAGGGCGCGGGGGCGGTGCGCTGCGGGGGGGGGGCGGGGGCTCGTAATGCGCCGCCGCAGGCTGACCCGCTGGGTGCCGCGGAGCGGGGGGATGTAGTTTTTAACGAACACCTCTAAGTACTTTCCCGCCCCCTTCCCTGGGCTCCTGTCTCAGGAGTGCTCAGCGCGGTGTCCAGATCCACCGTGGAGGGAATGCAGTCTTTGCCTTTCGCACTCCGGATTCTGGCTTAAAAGCATTTAACTCAGATACGCACTAAGTACGTTTATTTCCATTTAGGGTGTCAACTTGGTGCTGAATCTCGAACCTGTGAAATGCCTTCTTAATTACATCCGAGAAAAGGTGATCAATGTGTTACGTTTATAAGGGTCATTTCGATATGTATAAAAATAGAAAAAAAGTACGCTATTTAGAATCGCTGCCAATGGCTGTGCTATATTTAAGCATTACTGTGAAAACATACTCAGTGGAGTGTATGGCTTTTACTTTTGTGAGAAAACGATGCTAACAATTTTTTCACCTGTTGCATTAACTATTGCTCTTACTGCTTGGAGTTTCGGGGTAAAGATTGCTCGTTCTGAGAACTCTGGGAAATTTCTAAAAAATATTTGAAAAATCCAAATACCAAAAATTTTTTTAAAACCGTATTTAGAATCTTGTATATATATGGAGAGTATCTTGATTTATCAGTTGAATTATGTTACAGGGTTTTTGTTAGTTTTTTTTTCTGTGCTATAAAATTCAGTTAAAGGGTGAATTATCCAATCTTCTGCTTCTTCCCCCCTTGATCTTTATACATTTATTGGCCGAAAATCAGGTGTTTAAAGAAAAAGAAAAATGAAATGAAACGTAGTGCAGTTAATTTTACTATTAAGTATTTCTTTTTTTTTTAAGATTTTTATTTATTTATTTGAGACAGAGAATGAGAGAGAGAGAGAGAGCGCGCATGAGAGGGGGGAGGGTCCGAGGGAGAAGGAGACTCCCTGATGAGCAGGGAGCCCGATGCGGGACTCGATCCCGGGACTCCAGGATTAAGTTACTCCGAAGGCAGTCACTTAACCAACTGAGCCACCCAGGCGCCCACTATTAAGTATTTCTTAGCAGCTCCTATAAAAGGGTTTGTGAGGGAGAATTCTTTAAAATAATGGTATATATGAGGGTGCCTGGGTGGCTCAGTCGTTAGGTGTCTGCCTTCGGCTCGGGTCATGGTCCCAGGGTCCTGGGATCGAGCCCCGCATCGGGCTCCTTGCTCAGCGGGAAGCCTGCTTCTCCCTCTCCCACTCCCCTTGCTTGTGTTCCCTCTCTCACTCTCTCTGTCAAATAAATAAAATCTTTTTAAAAAAATAATGGTATATATGAAGCTCAAGGATGTCATTTTAGGTTTGACCTTATTTTTGCCATTGGTGTTACTAATCAAATATTAGTTATTAATTTTATGTATTTGCTATGGGACACAATGTTTGGAAATGATTATTTCTGTAATGTGTTTGCTGTATTAAGTAGTATTAGTGTTTGTTCAACTGTGCATTGAACTAAGTAATAGTAAATAATGTGAATACGAAATTTACTTGATGTATTTTATTTATTGCACACTTATTTTTAGTACTATAATAATAGACCTAAAGCAATTTTGTATGTGCCAGCCACTGTGCTGATCACTTTGCTTTTCAGTATTTCCTTTTCTCCCTACAATAAAGTAGGTACCATTTTAATTTCCTGGGTCATACAACGTTTTACCAGGGTGAAAATAAAGGGCTGAGGTAGAGAGGGAGATATGAAGCTCAAGGCACTGTGGGAGCACAGAGAAATATTTAACCTAAGCCCTTTAAGGTTAGAGTGCTCCCAGAGAAGATACCATCTGCATTTAGCTTTAAAGCATAGTTAGGAGTTTGTTGGAGTGACAGAAGAAGGACATTTCTCAGGAGAGAGAGGAGTGTGTGTAATGTTACAAAGGCAAGAAGGCATTTGGCACAATTGAAGGCCTGTAAGTAGTTTCACATGATTAGAAATCAGAATGTGTGTGGAAATGTGGCTGGAGAAGGAGTCATTTCATAAGTAGCTTTGAACCCCAATGGTAAAGACTTCCTATTTTTTCCAGTGGGTTATTAAAATCTAGTGAAGAGATTTAAACAAAGAAATGATACCATCGCATTTGTATTTTAGGAAATTTCTTCTGCTTGCAATGAAGAGGATGGTTTATTTTTTAAAAGAGTAGGGTGATAGAAGCATGGAAGCAACCTTAAGAAAACAAGTAAAATCTTTCCATAGTCTTTTTATCCCTCAAAGCTGCTGCATCATGTCACTGCCTTTGAGGGTGGGGGAAGACAGTTGGAAGCAGATTTGTAGAAAGAATTATCCCCATGTTTCTTCTACAGGTCTCACCTTCCATTCATTCGTCCACTTCTGGCCACCAGATTTCTGCCCCTTCACAAACAGCTTTGCAAACATGTGACTTCCTGTCTGCACTGCAGATCCAGTGGACACTCTTCACAACTTGCAGCACGCTTGGTACCACACAGTGATAGAAAACTTCTTTGTTAAAACTCTTTTTTCCTTGAGGTGCACCTGGGCAGCTCAGTTGGTTAAGTGGCTGACTCTTGATTTCCACTCAGCTCATGATCTCAGGGTCGTAAGATCCAGCATGGAGCCTGCCTGAGATTCTCCCTCCCCTTCTCCCTTTGCCCCTCCCCCCACTCATGCTCTTTCTGTCCTTCTCTAACAACAACAACAAAAAAACAAATAAACCTCTTTCCCTTGGTTACTTCTCTCCCCCAGCTTTCACCTATCTCTTTGATGTCTTTTTACTTTATTTTTGGGCTCCCGGAATTCTGTCTTTGGCATATTTTTCCCTGAAACCATCATAAATGTAAAGCCTAGTTCTCAAATCTTCAGCCTAGTTCTCCTTGCTGGATTACTATATTCTGTTGCCTACCAAACACAGCCTGATTATACACACAAACATGTATTTATATATACAGTGATAATAGCTGTCATTTTCTAAGGGCTTGCCATGTTCTAGGCATTGTGCTAAGTGTTTTATTTGGATATTCTCATTTAATCTTTACCAAAACTTTATGATTGATTTAGTATTATAATTCCCTTTTGAAAGCTTAGGAAATTGAGGTCCAGAGATTAATTTACTGGCAGGTAGAACTGGGATTTGAATCTAGGGATCTGACAGTGAAGCCATTGCTTATAGCTGGTTAGTGCCCTTCAGAAACCCAGCTCAATATGCCCCACTAAGCTCACTGAGTGTTCCCACAAGTATCTATTACAATCGTAACAGAAGTTTACTGGGGCATTATTTTAAATCATTTAACCCTTATAACAGCCTTTTGAATATGCACTGGTAGACTGATTTTACAGATGAGGAAACAAATGCCTAAGGTCACACAATCAACTATTTGAGACTAATTCTAAGACTTGGGTTTTAAACTTCTCCACTATACTTGTCCTGTATTCCAATAAATGATACTACTGGGGGCCTAAGTACTCTACTTCCAGAAAATGAGAATCATCCTGGACTCTCTGTCCTGCCTTGTCAGTAGTTTTTATTTAATCTTTCTGAAATGTCTAGAATACCATAAATTTTTTGTTTAATGGGAAATAGGTCAAGCTGAATATAAGTAAGCGTTTTCTTAATGACTCATAGTCATGTAGTTCAGCTGTTTTCCTCTATATTGAATGGCTATGGAATATATAAATATTAAGTCATTATTTGCTTTATATTTTTTCTATTTATGTGCTATCAGGTTTTAATTACTGATGCACTTGCCTTTACATCTTCTCTCTTTTCTAATTTGGGGTAGATTGGAAAGTATTTGACCAAATTTTTTTTTAATAATTTTTATTGTTATGTTAATCACCATACATTACATCATTAGTTTTTGATGTAGTGTTCCATGATTCATTGTTTGTGCACAACACCCAGTGCTCCACGCAGAATGTGCCCTCTTTAATACCCATCACCAGGCTAACCCATCCCCCCACCCCCCCTCCCCTCTAGAACCCTCAGTTTGTTTTTCAGAGTCCATCGTCTCTAATGGTTCGTCTAGTACGTGACCAAATTTATTAGATCTATACCTGTAGGAAGACTACATTTGGGCTCCCATCTGTAAAGCATAGGAGTCTTTACTGTGTGAATTTAGTGATATCTATTTTGTTGATGTACCAGAAAATTATAAGTTAATCTACATAATTAGATATATGTGTATAATCATTCTTAACCTTTTTAGCATTTCTTCTCAGACTTTTCTATCCAGAGTACCCATAATATTAGAGGAACATGAAGGTGCATCCCCAGGGATCTGGAACTTTAACAGATAATTGCTCAGCCAACTCAAATTATGTTTTTCTTATTTTTTTTTACAGTCTTCAGTTTTATTCTTAAAAGTGTGTGAATATTGTGTTCTAATGTGGAAATTAATATGTTTGTTTTGGACATACACCCTCATCTTTAAGTAAAATTGGAAATTCAGGAATACATATACTGAGTTTGAGTTTATCCCTAGTTTTGATATATAACAATACATGCCCAGATACTTATTTGAGAAAGATAGTACAAATGCTTGTGCTTAACCTTCTCTATTGTTGCAACATTTTTAGTGGAAGGTACAAAAATGTTCAAATTCATTATCTGTGAATATGCTACCCACAAGCATACTTTACTAATATAATAGCGTATGCTCTTGGGAAAGTCAATTCTGGGGTGGAGTTTATTTTAAAAGTACATTGAAATGTTTATTTTTTACTTAAAACACTTTTAAAAGTTCATTAACATATCAAGTGCATATATACTGCCTTTAAAGATTTTTAAAATTTTTTTGTTTCAAATATATAAATATTTTATTCAAATATCGTTTTCTTTAATTTTTTTTCAGACTCTAAACTGATTCCAATGTATTTAAGTCATATGCATAAGACTGGATAAGAGAACTTAGCTTTATTGCTATAAACCTGATGAGGTAGTGGACAAATCATCACATAATCTTGTGTGAAAAATGTTTTCTAATTTTTATTTACAAATTCCATACTACAAATAAATTCTCTTTGTTTTAATAGGATCCTGATTGAGTCATTGCTTTATATTACAGCTGAATGCTCTCCATAAAGCTGAGATATGCCCACTGGTAAGACTTTTATGAAATTTATATATGCCATACATTTTATTTGCTTATTTATTTTAAAGTTTGAATTATTTTAAGGGGTTCTTTGACCTATTAATGAATACATTAACCAAATACTACATTTAGATATTTAATAGTTTGGTATTCAATTTTCCATTTATTTTCTATTTATTTTATTTTTTTATTTCTTTTATTTTTTTTATCAATTTTCTATTTAATGTTAGCTATTGAGGCTAGTATGTACTTAATGGATGGCAGTTTGGGACTCCACTGGAGAAGGTAAATAATCATTACAACCTATGGTTAGTTTTTATTCTTTATCATCGAAATGGACAGTTTACTCTAAAGCAGGTATTGGCAAACTTTTTCCTAAAGGGAAATCTGGTAAATATTTTAGGTTTATTCTCTGCTGTAACTGCTCATCTCTGCCACTGAAGCATAAAAGCATCCATAAGAATTCTTAACAGAATGGGCATGGCTGTATTTCAATAAACTTTTATGTATAAAAGTAGATGACTGCCCTGCAGGCAGTAATTTGCCAACACCCACCCTGGGGCATTCATCCATTCATTCAGCATTTATTCAGCACTAAAACATGTTTATTAGTAGGTACTCTATGCTAGATTTCATTATGGTAGTAGGGATGGTAGCATAGTATAGTGGGAGAGACAGAGATAATA